ATATTATAATTATATTTATATATATATATATATATATATTGTTATCATGGTAATTCAATAGTTATCCATCTAACTTATAACATGATATTACTTATGTATTTGATAAACAGTGTTGTCGATACTTATATCATTATCTCGTTAAATAATTTGTTATATGCAAAAAGTTATTTTTGTCCAATTATACAAATTGATGAGAGAGAACTAATTATACATTTAACAAAGCTATATTCTTAATTTATTGGTAAACTGAGTATAGAAATTTAAATTACCCAATATTGATTACCTTCTCTATTGCTTGTGTCACGCCGTACGATCTTCCTTTTGGTTTCATCTCTAGTTCAATATCTTCCATGACTTCAAACAAACTTCCGAGAACGATTCGTAAATAGTCTGGTAATGTATCACTGACATCAATACTCCACCTGGTTCTCATATATAAAGATTTTTTTCCCAAGCTTGAATCAATTTAAAAGGAGAAAGAAAGATCCATGCATATACATATATGGATATACACAGTACTGATACATAGAGAAAGGGAGAGAGGGAGAGAGAGATTACCTCTGCAAACATTTTGTAAGAGCTGTAACTTCGGGAAGGGTTGCATATGCATCATATGTATCATCAACAACAACAACGATCATGATGATTTTAGCCATGATGATTCTCGCAAGCGAATACTGCGGCTCGAAATACGCTCCCAGAGCCCCGAAATGACACTCTACTAGCCTATCCCTAATGTAAGGTAGCTTAGATGCAAGATCTAAGTCCTTCCACCATCTGCAAACCATAACTAATGAATTGAAATGTTTTGAAATAGAGAACAATATGTTATCAAGAAGATTGAGAAGGAGTAAGTCACTTGGTGAGAGTTTTGAGTTCTTGAATGTAAAGAAACTGGCAAAAATTGAAGCTAAGCTTTGCAAACTTGAGCAGGATCTCGTCGTGACCTTGTTCTTGTTCGTAGTAAGATATATATTCTCTTGCCACTAATACTTCTATGTTACAGTATCGAGGTATGTATAATGAGTTTTGTATATGCTTAGAGAGATGAGTAGTTTCACTAGATACGTTGCCATATACCCAAGACTCCAAGTGATTCCTAGTAAAACTCATTGCTTCATCCATTATATCTTCAGAGAATGTTCCAAGATGCGCTACTTCGAACAACTGTAGCAGTCCTCTAACATCTCTGGCTAGACTCTCCTTGAACCTCCCATCTTCACCTCTAAATCTATACAAGGCATCTACAATGAAACCACGTAGCAAAAGCAGATTTTATAGGTAAACACATATTTTATGCATGTATGCGAATAAAAGGAAACTGAACCCGAAAGAAAAGTTTGAATACTATTTCTCCCCGAAATAAAAGTTCTAAACCTAGTCCCCCGAACCTAAACTCGATTAAGCTTTGAGAATCTCAAAATTTCTGTGAGAAATCATCACAATCGTTAAATCCAAAGTTAGGGATTGGGAAATTTGGGGATTTGGAGATTGATTCTAATGGAAATTTCGAGAATTTTGAAACTTAATCAAGTTAAAACAAGTTTGGTTTGGTTAAGTAAAACAATAAACCAATAAAAACTAAGAGCTGGGGATAAATGATTTTTTTTACCACAGGACATCTTGTGACCGTACAGTCTAAAGACCTCAAACATGATGGAGATTGTTTCCAAATCATCTTCCCCGACTATTAGGTCATCCAACTTTGTGAAACTCTGTTTAAGGATCTCTTGAATCTCCTTATCAAAATGGTAAGAGATCCCGAGGCTGATGAGCAAATGGATGAGACGAATCTTCTCCTTGTCGCTGCCGTGAGAAGACATAAGCATGTCTCTCACCAGTGGCTTCATAGCTTCAATCTCTCTTTCTTGTTCATCAAATTCCTAGAAAATGTGTACAATGTAGTATTGGGAGATAGAGAACCGAAGATAGGCCGAGATGGATGGTTAAGAAGATAAAGCAAACTTATGGAAATAAGAAGATATTATTCTAGAATATATGTGATACATGTCAATATTAAGTTTAGAAAGATTAACATTATCTTTAGTTATATTATTTACATTTATGTTTATCCTAATCTCTATATAAGATAATGTAAATTGTAACATTATATTAATGAGAGTCTAATATAATTCTTCCTTTAAACACTTTTGTGTTATTTACCTCATCAATTTATCATGTAGCTTTTCAAGAACCATTCTTTCTACTTCAAGACGCGTGAAAAAGGTTCATATTCACTTACAGCGCGGTCGAGGGAAACAGAGAGAAAGTGATCTCCCCAAAGGGAAGGAGAAAAGTGCGTTGAAGGACGACTACCTTCAAGATCATGAGACCTTACAACGAACAAGTCGAGATTTGTGGGCTTCCAAGACAAAGTGTGGATGTGAAGCAAACGGCGAGGGAATAGTGAGAGCTTGGTCTTAGGACAGTGAGGGGATTTTCGAAGGTGAGAATAAGCTCTAAGTCCAAAACCCATTCTTGTTGCTTCCATGTTTTATCACAAAGTCAAGACTCAAGACACAGTGATAGATAGCTTCTCTGTTTTAGGTTCTGTGTCTATTTTAAAAGCTATCTCTTATTATTTCCGTTAAACAAGGAACAAAGGAAGAACATGGTCAACGGCCAGGAAACGTATAAGGAAATTTCATGTACAAAATAAATTAATACAAACATGTAATAAGGAAATTTCGTAAACGGGAAAAGTGGGAAGCTGAATCTGATTTGGGAAATGCATATGATCACGTTTGTATAGTTTTTATACAAAAATATGTTCTCTCATGTTTGCCAACTTCTCTAATTATAAACTAGGTACAAACCCAGGGTTTTACGTTGGTGGGCTGAACTCTTTATTTGATATTCCCTCGGTTTCTCGTAGATTAATGTTTTGGAAAAAAAATTGTTTTAAAATGTTGATTTTGTAGATTAAAAAACTAATATGATTATTTTACTTTTTATCTTTATCCATGTGTCATGCTATCCAATGGTTTATATTTTTTTTTAGAGAGAGAGGGTACAATTTTATAATAATTATTTTGTTATTATTTAATTAAACATTTATGTAATTTGTATATGTGTTTGTATATCCAAACAAACAATGTATTTGTCTGATTATTTTTTGATTTTATATATTTAATTTATTTTTTATCTTGCGATTTTATATACTTAATTTTTTTTTATTGTTTGTTTAATTATCTTTATTATCTTTAGCGTTTTTTTTCTTATTTTAAAACTTTTTTTAATAGCATTTCAATGTAATTTTTTACAATAATTGATAAGGTTATTTTATTTGTGTACTTCTCAATTAATTTTGTAGGATGTAAGATCGTGAAGGTATTATGGATGTTAATATGAATTTCTGTAATAGTTATCGTCATATAATATTGCTTCCTTAAAAAAAAATGTACATCGTATAATATAGCAATACCAAGGTACGATATAGATAGCACTAATTTTGTATGGTTCACTGATGATTTTCGGACACATACAACTTCGATCTCTGCAGCTTAATTTGTGATATAATGATCGTATTTCTATGACATAAATAGAGTACTTCAATCTTAAAGCTGCTGAGTAATTATTTAACAACAAGTAATGCTTCAGAAGTGAGTACATAATAATTCAAGAAAATCAGAGGATTTTAACCAAAAGAGAGTAGTTCAATTTGACAAAACATGAGTAGGAGATGCAATTTTCTATGCAATTTTTAGATACTTTGTAAAATTTTACAAAATAAAACGCCACTGGAAATTAATTTGTGTTTTAAAAATAAATAATAGAATGTGTCAGACGTGCAGTGATTAACCATAAAAAAATGATTACATGCATTATTTGGTTATTTTCGTCTGACTTTTTTATTTTTTTTTTATTTTAATTTTGGTAAAAGGAAGTTTCATGTGGTTGACAATTTTGATCCCCCATATGCGCATGTACAATATAATAAGGTGACGGCCTAGTGATAATAATACAAAAAAAAAAAAAAGTTTTGTCAAAAGAAAAAAAACTCTTTATACATATATTAATGTAGCTTATACTATATGATACTAAGATATGAAGGTCGATTGGTAACGACTGTTACTTGTGGCTGTAGAGACTTTAACTTTAAAATTTTGGCTGCAGAGAATTTGGATGTAGATGCTTTGGCTGTAGAAACTTTTACTGTTAAAATCTGATTGGTAATGAACAACTTTTAAAGTTATACATGTTATTTTTATAATTATTATTTTATATTTATAATAAATATAAATTATATTATAAATGAATTTATAAAATAATAGTACTATTGAAATGGATCTTAAAAGAACAAGAAAAAATGAGAGTAATTAATTTATAAAAATAAAATATATTTATAAACTTGTGAAAAGGTTTTAAATGTAATGGGGATATGAAAAATAAATCTTTTTAATTGATAAAATTTAAAGCCAGGTTTTTGACGCTTTGAGAAAAATGAGAAAACAAAAAAGGAAAAACAAGAAGTGACTTTTAATGCTTTAAAAAAAAATAAAAGCAAAAAATGTTGATTGGCAAATTAATTACTTTTAAGGCTTTAAAACCATTTTAAAGCCTTAAAAGTCATCACCAATCGCCTTCATGATCTTATTAAACTACTCTTTATTTATGTGTTAAAGAGGAAACCCGCACGTTCTGCGTGATTGTTTGCTATATTTTTTTCTTTTAACATGTTTTTCTATTTGATGTTATATTTTTAAGAATTTACGTTTGTATATACATTTGTGTCGTATGTGTTTGGCCGTGACCAGTTTATAAACCATTTGTTACTCTTTTTTTTTCCTGAATTTGTTTTCTTATAGTCTTATTTTAAATTTGATTAAAAAAAATTATTAAAGCATTCTCTTTGATTTAAGAGTCCATCTAAATTTTGGGCAATTTGTTTGCCTTTTTTAATATTATTTTACTCGATAAAAGCCAATATTTTTATTTTATTTTGTTTACTATGTATAAACCTTATTTAGTCGGACGATACTACTGTAACCAACGGATTAATTTGGATGGGATATTCAAGTACGAAGAGAGCTTGACGACACCATTTTGTATTTTTTTTTATCCTCTACCGTTGGAATTATGCTTTATTTATTCTTCATCATACTTCAATCCTCATCCTCTCGCAATCGTCTAAAATATAGTTTAAAATGTTAGTTTGAGTTTATCTTTTAATATAAAAACTTTGAATTTTACCTCACTTTGAGATTTTAATGTATTTCGATTCTTATTTCCACTTTTTGGTATATCACATTTTTAAAAAGTTTTGACTTCATATCGACTATATTTTGTGGAATTTGATGTTATTTACTTAGTAGTTACTAATAATCTGGGAAAAGGGGAATACAACATGTTTTGTTTCACTTGTCTGCTAATACAACGTAACCTTTGTTATTTGGAGTCCTGGATGTGCCTATGTTTGCAAGGTAAAGTTATAATTAATACGCAATATAACTTTTCTACGTATTTTCTAAATGTTTCTACTGTTACACATCATATTTATCAATATTTTACAAAGTTACCGGGGATGAAGTCGTGTTACACTTTTTTTTTTCTTTACTTAATATGACTGGCCTGCAGTTTTAGAAGTTGGGGGATAAAGATGCAAAAAAATGCGATTTGCGGTTTTTTCACAAAAACCTAAATGAAAAGATATAATTTTGTTGTTGTTGTATTGGCATCACGATGTAATTTTTACAAAATAATGTCATAATATATAAATCGTCTTCCTAATTAACAATACTAGAATAAAATGATTGTGATGTTGACCACATATATGTAGGCATGCAATACATGTATTTCATGTAGTTAGCTATACATTTCTATAGTTTGGATGTGTGATCATGTATTTTTCTCATGTAGCTCACTATCTTTTTCCTTGAGTTTATTGGCTAACATTTTATTACATGATTCAAGTTTGACCAAACACATTCACAACGTAGTGATATCTTATTAGATCCAAAAAATACATATTTATTCAGTTTTTTGTAAAATTAGTCATCTATACTCAAATATACTAATACAAAATATATGTATTTTTAAGTAACCAATCATTAAACAACAGTAAAATCAAATAAACAAACATGGTCGTTGGAGATTTGATAACAAACAAAAAAAGATAAATAAAGGGTATTTTACTATGATGAATGAATCTAGCTTTTATAGGCTCGATATAAAACGGCGAAAACCTACACCAAGAAAAATAAATTGCAAATCATAAAGAATATGGTCGTTGGAGTTTGGATGAAAAAATAGGTAAAAATCAAAATAAGGAAAGTCTCTTGGCTTGTATCTTGAAAGCTTGGAGAGGAATATACAACTTCATGGAAAGTTCTGGAATGTTTAGAGAGTCTTTAAAATGCAACAAATTTGGTAGAAAGAGTCGTTAAGGTTTAAAATCTCCTAGTGTGATTTCACTAGAATAATTAGTGTTTAACGAAATTAGTTAAACACTAATTATTCTAGTGACAACAGCATAAGGAAAGCGTCTTGGAGAGTCTCTAAATGATAAAGAAGTTCTTTAGGTTTCCAAACATAAGCCTACAGTGAAATTAATAAGGAAAGTTTCATTTTCGGTAACATATGGTCTTCGGGTAAGGCCAAATGAGTACGTGCTAAACCAACTCGAACTAAAGGTGTTTTGGCTCAATCATTCTGCTCGATATGGTTAATTTGGTGAATAATGAAGCCAAGGTTAAATGGATGAGTAGGTTCTCCAAACTACAACTTAATTCGCCAACAAACGTGTCTAGGAAGGATAACATAGGAATCTATCAAGTTATCTCATTGGTGCACAATTGTTTCTTATTCGTTCTTCCAAAAATACCCATATTGACAGGGATCATGAATCTCAGTTTGAATGGCCGTGTAGTTTGACTAGTGGTTCCATACGCTTGCTTATGGTATTGTGAGAATGGTTTGTTTTGAAACATTTTGATTTCTGGACGTTCGTCTTTAGTTATGGCTCGATCAATCTTCTTAAAATGTGTGATTGGCTGGAAAACCTTCAATTTGGTTAAGTGAAAATCCTTATTTAGTCGATCAACTAGGATTCATAATGATTTGTATGGTACATCGTGCTGATTATCTAATTGTCTGGCTTGTTCGTATATAATTCTGGTATAATGAGTCACTTTTAAAAAGCCAACTTGTCGATGAATCTTAGATATATGTTGAGGAAATTTTTTTTTGTTCAGTGGAATTGAACAGGGTGCGGTCCGGTTAAGTTATCATGGACGATCTTTTATCTGGTTCGTTGGTTTATGATTCATCATAAATCTTTAGTATTTTATTATAAATAATCAATCCTAGTCCATGTGCTTGATCCGAACTTTATTTGCGCAAGAAATTCTCCATTCAGTGCAGTATGGTTGGTTTAAGGCTCGTATTGGCTGGTATGGTTTGCTCTTGGTTATAGCTAGTTCCTAATATTATATCATCCATCCTCTTTTTTGGTCATGGCACTTTTGAGCCAGGACTGTTGTTTGGGTTACCAGTCCATAAAT